TGACGGAACTATTCTGGAGCTGTCGAAACGAAACAAACAACAAAAAAAAAAGTCCTTTAACTGATTCTACGCAAAGTCATGCCCCATTCATTATTATTATTATTATTATGATTATTATAATTTAATTTTTATTTTTTTTAAGAAAGATAAAAAAAATAAAATAAAAATAAATAACTCACTTTTTTTTTTTTTTTTTTTTAAGAAAGATAAAAAATAATAATAATAATAAATAACTCACTCTCAGTCAGGTAAGTGCCAGACAGTAACTACGACTACTTTTGCATTGTAAAATGTCGCGGTGGACAAAGATATGCACAGCGCAATGGGGACGTTAGCAAGAAAGTGTCGCAAAGGATACCTGGTACATTAGAAAATTCCGTTGTTTTCAATCAAGTAATACATTTTGACCATAAATAACAGATTTTACAATTCACAAAAACGACAAATTAACGAGTTCTGGTCTTATGATTAAGTGTGCTTTACTTAAATATAAATTGACTTCTGTTGGAAATGAATATCGTGCATAGACTTTCTCTTGCTCCACTTCTACAACAAATTAGAGACAGCAGAGTGAAAGAATTCTCTTCCAAATAATGGCGAGACACCTTGCACCGTATCGTATTTTTGTTGTCCTGTGTTTCAAGGGCCGATCCCCAGAAATTGGATGCGTTCATCATGGACAAAGCCCTGCTGGACTATGAGGTCTCAATTGATGCAGACTGCAAGACACTCACTGTTGGCAAACCGTTTGCTATCGAAGGTAAGGGAACCTGAAAGTGGGACAAAACTCTTCAAGTTGTTTCCCCCCCTCCACTTCTCACTTTCAATCCATCAATTTTAGCAGAAGCGTCGCCGCAGGGTTGTCCAGAAGCCAACCCTTAATATCAATCAGCAAGCATTTAACAGTGTTAATCTTGTGGGCTTTCAAAAGCTTGCGGTCCAGGCGGTGTCTTGTTAATCTCAGGCCCATTTAGGAAGCATCATTCACCCGCTGTGAGAACGTCCCCGCGGTGGTTAACGTTCCATTACGGGCCTCCGTTGTCCCACATACCGTTGCTGCGTTTAATTACCTTATACAGCCTCCATGTCAATTCAGTTCAGGGTGAAGTTTAGTACTTGTTGAAATTGCTGTTACGGACATTGCCACAGTTAGCAGGAATTCAGTGAATGCAAAACAAAACAAAGAGAAACCAATGAATGTAAAACTGTTTTTGCACTCGCCCAGTCAGATTAGAAAATTGGCTCCAGCCAATTGAAAGCAAGTGATAGAGAAGTGGTGGATGGATGACTTATATAAGCACTGACATCAATAGAAATGACGACAAATGTGACCCCAAAACAAATCTTTATTGATTTTTTTTGTTTGTTTTTTGGTGGTTTTGTTTGTATGCTCGCCGACAGGATATGGAATCGGGCTTCCTCAGAACTCTCCGCTCACCTCCAACTTCTCCGAGCTTATCAGTCAGTACAAGTCGGATGGCTTCATGGACATGCTGCATGACAAATGGTACAAGGTGGTGCCGTGCGGGAAGCGCAGTTTCGCCGTGACTGAGGTAAGAACATGGCCACCTTCACCTTAGCCGTTGGCAGCTTTTCAATTAAGGCTTGTTGATGTCGCCTTGATCTCTGTGTCATGTTTATTTTGGTTTGTGTTCTTTATATTCACCGGGGGCGCGCTGTTGACTGCCACCCACACGGAGCATCGACGAGAGTCGTTTTCTGCGTCTTTCTGCACTGTACCTCGATGAGCACCGTGACCTGCCGAAATGATAAGCGGGATACCAAATTGCTTTTCTTAATTTAAAATTTCTGCAGAACTTTTTTTGGGGGGCGGGGATAAGAGCTATGTTAATGTGAAGAAGTCGTGTCCCTCATCAGAAAACCGCCAACCCACTGTGAAACAATCAAGCAATGCTTATCTTCCTAATGCATCTTTAATGTTTAATTAGGAGGTAGGTGCAGGACGGCTGTCAAGATCATTGACATTTAATTCCCCACTAATTGTTGAATTCATGAATTTGCCCGATGGCGATGGTAAAGTCTATCTCTCAATTCATCTCTTCAACTTACTCCACGGGGACGCGGTAGTTAGTCAGTATAAAGACAATCAACAACCTCTCTATTAATGGATCCATGAAATGAGCCTACGCCAGACTTTTGGTTTGGTCTGGGAGTCGGTTAGGAAATGTGTCACACTTTTCATAGCACTCAGTGTTCTATATTTGCCACCAGTAAAATAAAACTCAACATCTTCCCAGTCAAGCTTGCTCAGGTGGCACCAAGAAAAGATCCTAACATCTATTGACCGGTTGTCCTGGTGTGGGGATATAACATTCACGGCCAAGGTTACAGAAGCTGTTGCGACGAGTGTAAAAGTCAATTCTACTTGAAGATTCCTGATTACAGCCATATACCATCCTCAATAATGGCTTTCTCTTAAATGAAAAAAAATACCTCAGGAAGAAGGGGGTGCCACGAGGAAGGTGAAATTACCCGTTAATATCGTGGTTTAGCACATTTGCACCACAGGTCAGAGGCTCTTTGTCCAAATCTCAACTCAGATACTCATGTTTGGAGTTTGTAGTCCTCGTGTGAATTTGGCTCATTTTCCAAAAACACCCAAATCTTTTTTTTTGTTCTAAGAAAACAAAAATAATACACATCAGCACGGCCTCACAGCCATGTCGCAAGCGCAAATCTGAATTGACGTAACTTTGCCAGAGCTCTAGTCTGCTTCATTTGTGCTGTTGCACCATGCAGGTGAGGTAATTGTGAACTTAAGCCTTGTATGTAGCTCTGCTTCCCAATGTACTGCATTATTGATACAAACTAAGAATAAAAGGGCACGCGGATAGAAATCACTGTACAGGGGATATGGCATTTAAGCATTCCATTCCCATTGTGACTCAGAAATCCCAAATCACCGTTGAGTAATCGCCGGCTAACAACGTGTCCCATTTCACTTCAGGTAGCAAATTCTTTGTCTCGAGCATTTGTACACCTGAAGGTCTTCTATCAAACGGATACCGTCAGCAGTCTGTCTGTGGAGACACTAACCGACCCTCGCCACTATTTCAGGAGAAGCAGTAACTGCTAATTTACTGTAGTGTAAAAGTCAGTTTGTTCAGGTAAATTCAAACTAATTTACAAGAGCTACGGTTTCTTACAGATTAACTCATTTGGTTATCACTGAGGCATAGTTAGTTTATGTGTGCCCTGCAATTGACTGGCAACCAGTTCAGGGTGTACCCCGCTCTACTGCCCGAAAACAACTGGGATAGGCTCGAGCATGCCCGCGACCCTCGTGAGGATACGCGGATTATAAAATGGGTGGATGGATGGATCATCAAAGATTTGTCTTGCCACCATCTGTTATGAGAACCGCATTTTAAATTTGAAATATTCTTTGATTGCTAGCTTCTAAGCGTCAGACTGTTTACATTGCTGTCCAGTCAAGGTCATCGTTTTGTCGAAACATCTACTACCATGTGTACAATAACTTGTAATTGAAAGTCTGCCCCCTGATCCTGCAGCTGCTAACCAATCTGGACGTGCTTTACTTTGCTTTGTCCTTAGCAGTCAAACAGCCCTCTGAGGTCCATCTTGTACTGTTGTGCAAGACAAGTCGGTTGTTTCAACCGCCAGCTGTGATTTGAGATCTCGTAAAGTGTCTCCTTGCTTGGATTGGGTCGTACAACCTTATTAGGCCTTCAAAATATGGATTTGGGACAAGTAACTTATTACTGTTCACAAAGCTCCACATTTACTTTTCAGCATTGCAAGATACTGTTATTTGGAAGAATATTGCCAACTTCCACCACCAAAACATTAAAAAAAAAATCTTATTCAAAATAGAACCACATGTAATTGAAAAACAGTTTAGAAAGTCCAACTCAAATATTATTATTGGATCTCAGTGGAGCGTTTGATTGAATTGATCACAATATACTGCTGAACAGGTTGGAAACTTGGGTAGAGAAAAAAAATGAAACGGTGCTGAAATGGTTCAGGTCGTACTTCGGGGAAAGAAGTTATTTTGTGACGTTTACAATTTCTGAATGTAATCGAATGGCCATGACGTGTTGTCCCTCAAGAAAGTCAGTCTTAGGACCCCTTTTGTTGATTATCATGGCTATGCAGATATATCTATACATTTCCTTCAGCTAAACCAAAAACAAAATGGAGGCAAATGTTTTCGGCAATAAAGAAAGGAGGATTGCTGTGATTGCTGCGAAGCAAATTGAGTTGCCTCCTGTGTGCACTGATTGATAAACAACTGGAAAACATTGCACAACACGGAAGGAGAAATTCCCAAGTGGCACTGGTATATGTAAATTGCATTTTCAGTGTTATACCGTTACTTTAAGCCAATTGCAATTCATGGTCGTAACAATCATACTGAATCAATGTCTGTCTTCGGAATTTTCTGACATACAATAGTCGTTTTTCACAACGACAACGACCTGCAAGACACCTGATTTAGATGATGGCTCATCAGCCAGCTCTGAAGCAGCATCAGAACGACCCTGATTATTTGAATCAGGTGTGTTGCTCCAGAGAGAGCTGGAAAACAGGCAGATCGGTGGCCCCTGAGGACCAACTTTGGACACCCCTGCTGTAGGCTGTACACTTGACCTTTAAAAAGTTCAGCAGTTTAAAAAACTAATATTTTTGGGTGGGATGTCTTCAACACAAACATATACTCTTTCAACTAGCTCAGACATTGAAGCAATGTTCTGCCTCAGTGTTCAGTCCATAGACTCAGTATTAAGAGGACCAAATTGAAGTCAATATTTGTCATTTAAAAGGCTGAAATAGCCACCGTGCAGGTGCTTTGAATGTGACGTGCATGCAGGTTTTCACAGCTGATTTTGGGACAACGACAGTGTCTCCATCTGTGACACCAAAACATTTAGATTTTTCATTGAACACTTACAAGCGGTTTGTAAAGCGTTTCAAACACAGACTTTGCTGTTTCTCTGTTTCTCAATCCAGACCTTACAGATGGGTATAAAACATTTCTCCGGGCTCTTTGTGATGCTGTGTGTCGGTGTGGCCTTATCTCTGTTGACCACCATTGCGGAACACATCGTGTATAAGCTGGTGATCCCGAGGGTCAAGGAGCCACGCTTCAAATATTGGCTGCACACCAGCCAGGTACTCTGCTCACTCACTGTACACTCCAAATGATCCATTCTGAACAGGGCAGGGAGCTGTGACATTCATAATACGGTCTGATGACACACTCTGGATCTTTTTGTGAGCACTCCCAACAAAGTACATCTCTGGAACAAACCTATATGGACTCACAATGTGAAAAAAAACTGAAAGATTGATTCTTCTTGGTTGTCAGTCAATCGCAGGGCATATTGGAAAACTAGGAATCACACTCACATTTACATCCATGAACAATTTATTCTCCAATTAGCTTAGCATACATGGTTTATATACTGTCTATATCTATATATAGCCAAAATATACAAAGATGTTGGAAATGCTTAGGTACAATTAATAGCGATTGTGATAGGCTCATTTTAAAAACTGTTGGATAAGTATATCATTTAAAAAAAATAACTTTTTGAAGTAGCCCGAAATAAATGTTCTTCAAATTACTAATCCCTCCGAGTTTGTTTGAGGCCAAAAATAAGTGACAGTTGATATGTTTGCTTTCTCTCCAGAGATTACACCGAGCCCTCAACTCTGTCTTTGCCGATGACAAGCTGCCGACTGTCACCAAGCCTGAGAAGAGGTACTGTACAGAAACATTTTGTATATGGAAATGCCGGGTAGGAAGCGAATCGTAACAATGCAGAAAAAAAATCCACTTGAAGCAGGGAGTCACTTTCCTAAATCCTCCGGGATTGGATTGCTGAGATATTAGTCTGAGAATAAGTGACACCAATTAACATCCAAGTGGGAGTTTAGGGACACATTTTAATGGGGAAGTAAATAAAACTGATCAGTCTTTTGGAAGCTAATTAGCTGCAACGGAAATTGAGGTGATAACGATGTCATATTTACATCCTGAAATATTGTAGCGATGTGTTTGGTCATGTCACTGCCACAGAAACAAAACTCAAGACTCCTTTTATAGTTCTATAAATATACTTTTTTAATCTGCTCTTTGCCTGGATTATTTATGTTGCAATTTAGACAACAATCTTTTTACCTTGGTGTCGGTCAGCGCTGATCCACGTTTTTTTTTTTTTTTCAGGTAGTTGAATAAAAAAACCATGATTCCATCATGGCCCCCGCTATAGCTGTCTGATTAGGTAAATTTTCTCATGAGTCAGAATGACTGGAGATGATCAAATAAGCATGATTCATGTCCTACTCTAGTAGCTCTATGCTTTGAAGAGGAGGTTAAAGTGTCCATTGAGTTTTTGCTGAGCAAGAGTTCTGTTTTGTTCTTTCTCTTTATATAAAAAAAAAAAAAAAAGAGCTTTTATGCTCCTGTTTCAAATTTGTCCCGGCTTAGCCCTACACGCAGAGAAGACACTCCAAATTAAGAGGAATGTCCGAGTAATGAGGATGGATTACTCTGCCGGCGGAACGCCGTTCATTCAATCGGGCCCTTCTGCACTGTGCCGTTCCGATTGATATTAAGACTGTCAACCCATCAGTGTGTTGCAAGAAAAAACGTCTTTTGTGTATTGCTTAAATTAGAGTGAACAAAAGTGAAAGATTTCTCAATTACATCACAAAGGTTTTCGGTTATAAATGCTATTAACCTTTGTTGAGAAAATAATATGAAGAACTCTGGGCCACAAAAGCTTGAAGGAATGACAGTTAGACGACTGCTGCTGTGCTGTCAAAGCATCTCTGATTCATTAGTCTTATCAAATAAAATGGGAATATGCCCCAAAATAAGTTTTCGTGTGAACAAGTCATTGACTTTTGCGACCAAAATGATCGTTGTTATAAGGTCTTTGATACCCCATTTAGACTCTGTGATTGAATATTTTGTCTTTGAGGTCATATAGCTCGAAAAAAGACATTTATGGAAATACACATGTAAGAAATTATAATCATCATCATTTTAGTGACAGTGATGTTTTTAAACTATTAGATGGAGGAACACTCTGAAAACCAACTGGTATTTTTATTTTTGTGTTCTGAATTGTTGAAATGTTTTGTTCTTACCAGGGCTTGCCATATGTTCAGTAGTTGATGAACTTTTTGGACTTGGCTTTTAATCCTTATACTCGCCTTTATAATCCGATGTGCCTTATATATGGATCAATATTATGATTTCTTGGACGTAGTATTTTAAATGTAAAGTGCTGTAAAGCGCTTTATTACATCTGCAGCGGTTGTGAAAGCTCTATATAAATAAAGCTGTATTGTATTGTATTCCTTTAGCATAGCGCCGTACAGTGGAGGCATAACGCAAACGCAGCCACTATTGTAGCTTCTCGCCTTATAATGCGGTGCACCCAATATATGAAAACACTTTCAAAATATGCCATTTATTGAAGGTGCGCCATACACTCCGACGCGCCTTATACTGCGGAAAATACGGTACTTTACGTCTGGTGTCGCTGTAGTCCAAGATGTGTGATGGTTTAACGTTTCCCAATTTTTGTTTAGTAACACCTTCAGTTCTAAATGTGAATCAATTGTGAAAAGCTGTGCAGTGTTGTCATGGCACAGCGGGCCGGATCTTTGTCATTGGCTGCAACAATACCTTGATGCTTGATGCAAGCTGTAAGAACATTTGTAATACTTTGGAACATTGTCGAAATTAATATTTATGTGCATCATGAACATGTGAATGAATAATTAGACGCAATGGGAGGGTGGACAATCTCACAAAGTGCATGTACAGTATCTGGTCCAGGCTATTTTTGAACATTACATGTGGAAAAATCCTGAGAATGACCTCTAAATGGTACGGAGAAGTGTAAACCAACCATTTTGTAGTTGTGTCTTAACACTTGTGAAACTAAATTAATTATTGCTGTTTGAATAATTAATGGTACTATAGGCTGACATCAGTTGTGTTTCGTGGCTCACGCATCCTGTTATATAGAATATTAAAACATGGAGCTCCGGCTGTATTTTTGTTTTACCATAGAAGTATGTGATGGCTACCTTGTGGAAAACACAATCAAAACTATCTTAAACAATTGAAAGACCGTTGCGGAGAAGCGAATGTGTAAAAGCAAATGAATATAAATCCACATCTTGCGTTACAAGTCAGCATTGTTGCGTGTTGCAGTCTAAAACTGCTGAACAGGCCCAATTCATCTTGATTTTGGATCAAGTGGTGAGGATGGAAATGACTTAGACGAAGAGGAGTCACTGTTGTGTCAGAGGCTGCTACAGCTTCCGTCACAAAGGATGTTCAACCAGCTCATGTTTCAGCTCAGTAACACATAAGGCTGCCAGGTCTGGTAAGACCTTCATTCCTGGGCTAGAATTTCTCATTGCTTCGAAATTCCACCGGATTTATTTTGTTGGTCTGTAGTTTTAAATGCTTTGCATCCTTTCAGATTTTTCTGCTGTCTGTCCTTATCTCCACCCTGAGGACTTGGCAATACGACAATACGATTTTCTTTTTATAGGTCACTGGAAGATGTTTATGTCCCTTCGATAATAATTTATTTATATATAGTATATTCATCCCAATATACGGTATATATATATATATTTAGAATTCAGAGGCTAAGTAAAACTGTGGTTATGTAATCTGTATAAATGAGATGAGAGTATTGATTGGTGAAATTTGAGGTCACCACATCCCTGGCTGTGGCTTCCAAGAATCAGTACATGGACTGCATATTAAAGATGTTTGGAAAAAAAAAAAGGGGGGGTACCTTACATTTCCCTCTTTTTCTGCATCTTCAGGTGCAATGAAGGAAACAACCAGTCGGCATCCTGGAATCCCGCCGAGTCCTCTCTCTGCAACAGGCGTAGGGTTCTTCTGAACGAGGCGCACAATGACTTGGAGCGCCCGACTTCCCAGGATCTTCCTCTTCCTCTCCCACCGGCTTCGGCTCTTCCTCTTCACCATTCACTTCCTTTACTGAAGAAACATCTTCCCATTGTGACCACCTCGAATGGGCGCTCCAACCTGGTGGGTCGCTTGTGTCCACAAGGATTGGGGCAAGGGCAAGGGAGCACTGCGCCGGGCATGACCCCAGGACAGTGTCTGGGTTTGGGTGTTGGCGATTGTGGTCCTGGCCTGGGTGTGGGACGCCATCCATTGACGCAAGAGCTGTCGGAACTGGAGAGTCAAATCACTGCGATCAAGCAACAGCTGCAGTCGGCCATGAGGAGGAAGAGAGAACTTGAAAAGTACCAGTCGGAAAACCCGCTAGCAAACCAGACTACACCTAGTCGAGCTACTGTGCCCCAATGTAACCAGTTGTCACAGTACACACAATCCCAGCAACAGACTAACCAACACCAAGACACACTCCCAGAATTCTGAAACTGTTCCCTCATTTGTCCTGGGAAAACTTCCTACATGTGGTGGTCGTGCAGGAGGACATACTCCCGATGGATGCAGCTTGAGCATTTATTGGTGAACACTGTTTTAAGGCTCAGGAGAATCCCTGATCACTGGACTGAAAGGTTCTTTTAGGATCATATCTTGCGGTTAGCGCCAAAAGAATCAGTTCTTGACATGTGAATTGCATTTGGCAGGGAATAGTGGGCAATGTATGGTACCAAGCACCAAGTCAGTCCTTCCTTGCTTGTTTCAGTTTGTGGTGAGCTGTGTAAACCATCCCCTGCACTATCTCTTTACCCCCCTTACCTTCATTTTCTTTCATCCATTCCCTACTGCTTCCCTCTCTCACGCCTTCCCCTCTAAGCCTCGCCTCTTCAAAGGAACAGATTCGCTTTGCAGCGATTATAAGCCTGATCCCAGATACGAAGACGCATAGGTATTTAAGTCAAATGGGCCAAATCACCTGAGTCTACGTCCACGGCTCACTGGTGATGACCTGAGCTTGAACCTAGCCATGAAGTCTTGATGTCACTTAGATCTTGACATAACCTTGTCATGTTTACCAATGACATCTAAGCTTTGTAAATCTATTGTTTTGACTTGGGTCTCTTATTTTCTGGTAATCATGTTGTCACTTTATCTGTGAACGTTGAATGACATTTGGGTTGACTCCTCGGCAGAGTTTGACATCCGGTCTTGAGGTACTACTAGAGTACAATGATCGGGTGTATAAGGGTTCAAGATCAGAGCAAACAGATTGTTTTTTTGGTCGTTGTTGTTCTGTCATGCTAATACAAAGCCCAAGAATTATCATCACATCATACAATATCAAGCATTTGGTGTGTTGTTAGTTGAATCTTACATCGGACACACAAAACACCACTGACATTTTTTTAAAACCTTCAACATTTACAACTGAAATAGCCTCGCTGTGATGAAACCTGTTTTTCTTATTTGCAAGTTTTGGACTTCTGTCATTAAAGACTGACCTCTCTCCTTTGCACTTGTAATGATTTCAAAATGATGTCCACAAACTTCAGATTAAACACATGACCAACAATTCCACTAGAGGTGTTTACCTTTGTAGCACGGGCTTTAAGCGGATGCAAGGTTGCCAGTCCTTGTGATATTTATTTGTGAGGATTGCATGATTTCTCTCTCAGGTGCCACTGAAATTCACCTACAGCTACTTGACTCTCCAGTCTAAAAAAAAATCAACTCCATTATAGTTACAAACAACACTGTCGGCTACATAATGCCCTACCGCTGCCTGCCTTGAACCGATCTTTGGTTGTGGCACTGTCCCTCACTTAGGTTGCTTGGAGAGAACAAAACGGACTAAGAGCTAGTCTGGCAAAAGCCAAGTACTGCGGCACACACAAAGACACGCGCACAAACAGGCTCTTATATTTCAAGGCGGTAAGCGCAGACTGTCACCACTGAAATGAATACCTGACAGAGCAGAAGGGCAAGTGCACTGCACAGCAGCCGGCTTTCTTTGTGAATCTGAGACAGGGGGAGAGAGAGATCGAGAAAGAGAGTCTGCTGTGCTTTGTGCTGACACGTCTGTCACTAAAGTTGATAATGCCGTGACAGAATGACTTGAGTACAACCAAAACAGTGTCAAAGTGTCTGGTTTTCGCCGATCTTGTGCTCTTGTGCTAATCCTCTGTCTGAGGAATGTCGATTAAAGAGGGGAAGCATCCCGTCATGCGGCGCGGATGCATAATTTGTTTGCTAACAACACAAGTCAACATTTTGTTCGGACGATGCTTCAGTGCAACATGATGTCTTCAGGCTGTGAACTGGTCAGCACATTTCCTCACCGCTACATGTTGCTGCTGCCAAGATTCTCCCTGTCTCCTTTATATTTCAATCAAGCCAGCAATCTATGACCCCTAGGGTCCGCACAGCCAATAAGAGCTCTCCTCTATGAAGTAACGCACCATTAAACTTTTATTATTATTATCCATCCGTCCATCCATTTTCAGCACCGCTTATCCTGAACAGGGTCACGGCGAGTTGCTGGAGTCTATCCCAGCTGACTTCGGGCGGAAGGCAGACCCTGAACCAATCGCCAGTCAGGCGAAGGGGCACACACAGAGACAAACGGCCATTCACACCCGCACTACCCCGTCAATGCGCGGGAACCGATCACAAGCTGCCCGCACACAAATCCGGTGAGTTTACCACTACACCATCAGACTTATTATTATTGTTATTATTTTATATAATTAGTATTCTGAAACAGACACTGAAACACAAAACGATATCTAACACTTACCCTTTATGAAATTATCATGACCTTCATGTTTCTGTTTTATGAATGAAGGGGTGTGTGTGTTTTTTTTCATCTCCGGGAGATGATAGAAAACTCATTTCCTTTATTCGTGCACTGCACCAAACAGCCGAGTTGCAAGAGAGGTGCCCGTTTTTTTTTTTTAATACAGTATTCCTCTTAATAAAAAGATCAATGCACCACACAGCGGTACAGCGGTCAGCTCGGCTTCTGCTTGTTTGAGTTTTCTTCAGGTAGTCTGGCTTCTTCCCACATTCCAGAAACATGCATGTGGAATTAAGTGGGGACTTTCAATTGTTCACGTGTGTATTTAAGGCCACAGCAGAGTTGGTCATTACAAAATACACGTTTAATGCTTCTGTAACGGCAACAAATAACGATGTTGAAGTTCTTTAACCCAAATTAGATTTGGAATGTTAAAATACGATTTATACATCGTTTTGGCCTTCGCTCTATACTGCACAAACACATACACAACCAAAGACATTTCAGATTTAAGGGAAAAACACACACGGGAGACCACACTGTTGCTACAGACTATTTCATTTGAGAACAAAACAATGAAAATAAAATAATATGCAGCATTTGAAATGACAAGAGTTCTTTTGAAACATCATAAAATACAATGATAATCACAATGCTGAAGCGTATAATTCAAATCCTGAATATTTATAAAACATCTTGACTTCGCTCTTCATGCTGGGCGTTTTTCTTCCAAGAGGAAATGGAGTCACAACATTGCATCACAATCCACTGGTGGGTGGGGGAGGGACACCTCGAGAAGGAAAGGTGAAGAAGGTCATTAGCCTGGTTCACAATTTTTGAAAAGGGCTTAGTCAGTTCTTAGAGCAAGCCATTTACTCTCCCAAAACATGTTTCTACAGTGTACAGTCTGGGATTTCGTTTCGGAGTGGTCTGGCACTCGCGAGCCCAGCAGAACCTCTCCGAAAAGAAAATCCGATCAACAAAACCTGAATCCAGATACACTTAAAAGTGAACACTTCCAAGGGGTCCCTAAAAAAACAAAAATGACATCGGTAACATCATTTCATGTCTCACTTTGAACTTCATGTTTGTTTTGACACATATCGTTAAAATTTTAGGCCATTTGTTGAGATGTTATTTGAATATGAAATGATGTTGAGTTTTTAGGGACACCGCGTCGCGACATACACGTTGCTGGTAATCCAGCACCACGGGAATGTGTCTGACTGACAGCATAAAACGTTGACGTTGAGAGCAGGCAAACAGGTCCAAAAGGATCGTAATAGTACAGATTAACAAAAAATCTTTACAAAATTCAACCCGACCTGGTCAATTCATATACAGCCATAATAAAAAAAGAACGATTCTCTTTCTCTTTTTTTTTTCTGTACAAATGACAAACACCACAGAATGACAACATCGACATTGCTCGTGTTCCATAGCACATTTTCAGACTGATGGGGACAGGACTGGACGGGGACGTGGTGAACGTAGGGAAGTCACCTGACAGGATGTGATGCAACACAGAGGTGTGCAGGCTGAACGCTGTCAGGCTCGGGAAAACAACAATCGCTCATACAAAATGTGCAAAAACACCATCCTCCAACGAAAAACAGAACACCTCGGAGGAACATAAATGCCCCAATGAGTTGTTATGAAGAAAAACAATCTGTGCTTGCGTTTGTTTTGTAACACGGATGCCCATCACAAAACATGGTGGATTTCGTCCCGCCGGGGGGGTGAACTAGACAGATAGATCAGGGTTTGATTTTGGTAAGCAATCGAAGCCACGTGACATGCGTCCTTGTCATTGTGTCTGGAAGTGCTGCGGAGACGCAAACGTGACCCGGTGCTGCCCCCTTAGTCATGTGACCTCCGTCATTGATGCCGAGTGGTTCTGAAAATGGTTGTGGAGGGGAGGGTGGGGGGGGGTAAAGAGGGATGAGGACGGAGGAAGTTTTTAGGCACAACAAAAGGAATTGGGAGGGGGGACGGAAAAGGGGAGAGGGTGGGGGGCGGGGTTGTGGTGAATGGAAAGAGGAAAACATCATCAGGTGAGTGTCAGGAATGCTTCTGTTAAGTGTTTCATTGGGGAGACGAGGACAAGGAACATGCAAACATGCCCGTGCTTTGTTGATGAGCCATTTGTAGAGAAAGAAAGAAAAGCATTCTGTCTTAAAAATCAAAATCAATCACACACACACACACACACACACACACACACACACACACACACACACACACACACAGACTAAACAATGGCAAATTGCAGAGCAGTTCAATGAAATCTGTATCCCGAAAGCTTTGAGAGACTCAAAACAATGCAAAAGGTTGTACCTGTGCACTGAGGGTCTCCAGAGGACTCTCGACGCGAGGGAAAGTCATCAGGGGGAGGCCGCGGTAATCCTCGCTCTTCTGTTTGCTCGTGGCACCGTGGACGCCTTTGAAGTTGTTCACCACGCACACACCCTGAGTCAACATGAAGGCGAATCAGTACGGAGCAGATTGGGTGCAAATGTGGTGCGCTGATCCACGGGGATCAAGTGACCTCACACATAAGTCCGCACGCCGGCATTTAGGGGGGATTAGACACCAAAAAGAAGGTGTTCAGGGGAGACTATTTGAAGACCTCTTGGAAGTTGTGTTTGCAGCTCTGTCTTGGCCAATCTGTAGTGTTCCTAAAACAGTGCGAATGCGCGCAGTAGTTAATAATACACCGTATTCCCTGTCCATGTTTTTAATTATGGCAAAATCGAAAGTAATCTGGCATTTTCGATGCGGCACGCCTGGAGAAAATCTGCGGCAATTGTGGAGTGCGTTGGAGTATCCCTCATAGTCGTCACTTAAAGAATCTTCCATAATCTCTCTCATCGGATATTAAGTTCACATAACGAGCAATACAATTTGGGGTATGCCAAGAGAGCTTTTTTTCTACACATTGTGGTATATCCAAAGAAAATCTGCGGCAATTGTGGAGTGCGTTGGAGTAGCCCTCATAGTGGTCACTTAAAGAGTCTTCCATAATCTCTCTCATCGGATATGAAGTTCACATAACGAGCAATACAATTTGGGACCTCCGGTCTGCCAGGAGAGCTTTTTTTTCTACACATTGTGGTATATCCATTTCCTTTATTTTGTTGTTAATTGGTTTGTTTCATGTTTGATGTTATGTGCACTTGGTTACAGCCGCGGTTGTTGTTAAAGTGCTCCAAAAAATCAAAGTTCACTCAGAGAGAGGAAATATGGCGATGAAAGGAGTTCCCTTTTGTTATTTTATTAACATGTATATTGGAATTCTCAAAAAACAAAACATTCCTGGTCTTTATCAACCCATGCAGGGTGGTGGCGTGAATCCAAACACTGTGTGTTCAATATTAATCCCGATGGTCAGTTTGTGGTCATGACAGATCGTATCTGATCCTGTGCAAGAAACCTCATTTTAAAGAAACCATCCACGCAGCGTCTTGTTTGAAAACTCCCAACTAAAGTGAGAGGCAATCTTCGCTCCAATTTGTTTTTCCTGTCACCTAAACTCAGCTGGATTGTTTATTTGGCAGCAACGCAGAGAATCCAATTTAACATCTCCATGACGTTTTGTGTAGAGCAGAAGATAATCGATCCTCTCGACCTGTGTCTGTGACACCAACAAATGGGTTCTACAGTGGCCTTGAACGGGGGCAGACAACTTATGATGATACTGAAGTCAAACAAACCTCAAGGTCCCGTTTAAAAAAGAAGGATGACAAAATGCGGCTGTGTATGAGCTAACCTCCCTCACTCTCTTGTCTTCCAATCCGTCCATCTGTCCACTTTTGAATTGTGAATGCTCATCTTGTTCAGGGTCACAGGTGAGGTGACTATGCCAGGACTCTTCAACACGAGGACATTTTATTGCTGGTCACCCAAATGTCTGTTACGCTGAGAGATCCATCTAAAAGACTTTTGTGGGGTTTGTTTTTGTTGTGGTGTGAGAGGGTATTATGGTACAGTATCGATCGATCTAGCGATCCATCCATCTAATTTAATCTACAGTATCGAGTTGCGCAGACGGTTACAGCGGCCTTAAAGCAACATTCGGCCCAATTCACCACGTCTGGACAAAAGACCAAAAATTGGACACGGAGGCTCCCAACCCTTTCCTTGATTTCCGAAGCAACGAGTTGGACATCAACAGCTAAAAATGCTCTGTGATTAAGTACAAGCGCAGACTTGTATTGACAGCAGCCCAGTGCAAGCTCCCCCCGTGAGACAAATCAGCCTGATAGTTTTTGCAGGAACTTGCTGACAGACGGACGAACAAACAGACGGATGCAGGTTAAAACCTTGGCAGAGGGAACAATCCAATCCCCTGATTAAAATGATGCTCTGTGCCAGTAGGGCTCCCGTTCCTCTGTCGTGTCGTCAGTCTTCGTGCTATGTCGTCTCCCTCTTCTCCTATCTTCTCTTCACCCATGAGGACCAAACGGCAATTACATCTAATGAAGCACTTGAGACTGTGGAACAAATTGTTTTTGAATTGGGAAGGGGGGTTGGGGGGGACCCTAAAATGGCGAGTTTGATTTGCCTTGCACTCAAAACAGAGATGGCACCAACAACAGGTCAATCCTGAGTTACAGAACGTGGTAAACCTTTGAATTAATCATTTAATTAGTCATTTGGGATTAGGCCTAAAAAAGGCTTCAGAAGATTAAAAAAAAATTGAAAAAGGAAAATAAGAACGTCACGATCAGAATCTCTTTTGACATTTCTCTAATTCACATTGTCCTCACCAGAAAAAGTGCAACCGCTGATCCCAGTATGAATCCAGCCACCACGTCTGAACAGTGGTTTCGGTACTCTGAAACCCGGTTGAGTCCGGTGAGGAAGGCTGAACAGAGAGTGCCCAGACAAAGTACAGGCTTGGCCAAGCGACTGGATTTGGTCTTGATCGTACTGGTGATGTACATCTGGAAAGTTAAGATAGAAACTTGTTTAGACTGCCATCGGGCCCCAGATGTCTCTTGACAACACAGATTTTTCAATTTGAACAAAATGATGTGGGAGGAATGGCCAAAACTGGCATCCTTTGAGCTCGATGACCTTTTTAGCAAGAGCAGCAAATTATAACTCTGAATTGAGACTGTACTACATACATTGAAAAACACATTTGCTGGTCGTTTGCTTTCACGCCCGTGGTTTCATTTCCTGACATGATAGGTTTGTAAACTTGACTTGTTTATGCCCTGCATTGGTATATTGTGACACTTGAAAAAAAAAAAAAATCAAGGCAAAGCAAACCAAAATGCCTTGCCACTTGGCTCACTTTGATCGTAACCAAATCGTAACTGAGTATGTTGGGAACCGTACCGAGACCACCACAGTTTCGAGACAGATTAGGTCTGCACTTATCGAAATGAAAACAAAATAGAATGCAAGAGTGAAGATATCCATTGATGGAATATTTGGCCCTGTCCAAACTTGGGATACTTTCAAAACTCAAATGGCAAAAGCCTTTCAACCTTACACTGTTTTTTTTTTTGCCCTTAAGATGCGACATTTGGAAAACTTGCAATCTGTTCTGTTGTATTTGAACTTTATTTCACAATCGAAGATGCCTAATGATGTTGTCACTTTATGTGTACTGATTTCATTTGATGAAAATGTACCACGCAATTAAAAAAGATGTAAATTCATATTGGCTCCTGGGCTCTGTTGAGAGCAGCGCTGATGTAAACATATTACACATCTAGAAATGTGGGTTTTAGCATTCTGACAAATGGCTTTTCATGTAAATAGCGTTGTTTTCTTTCCTCCCTTTGTGTGTGGCTGTCGATTATATTCGCCCAGGAGCTAGGAAAATATATACCGTATTTTCCGCACTATAAGGCGCACCTAAGAGAGTTCAATTATGTCAAAAGCCGACAGTGCGCCTTATAATCCAATGCGCCTTATATAAGGTTCAATGTTCAGATGTCTTGGACGTAGTTTTTAAATGTTCTGTGAAGCGCTTTGTTATAGCTGCAGCGATTGTGAAAGCACAATATAAATAAAGCTATATTGTATTGTATTGAATCCCTTTAGCGTAGCCCCATCTGGTGGATGCATAACACATTTCAAGATTTAATATTGTATGGTTTAGTTCACAAGGCAGATGTGATCAAGACCACGTTTTGAAGTGTGACACTTTTTCAGCAGTGTTTCAAGGATGTATTGCTCTACCTGCAACAACAAACACCTCTGTGGATTGCTGCTTCAGTTTTTAAAACACACACACACACACGCACACACACACACACACACACACACACACACACACACACACACACACACACACACACACTCAGTTTCCAGTTTAAAACACACACACACACACGCACACACACACACACACACACACACACACACACACACACACACACACACACACACACACACTATTAGGTAGTAGCTGAAAGGCATTTTGGTCAGCGAGACTACAAGTTGATGTTTTCCCGAAAAGCCTTGCCTGTGAACAATCCTTTGAACATTTTTTTTAGGGGTCGGCTGGCTAAACAGGACCCAAAATGCCTGCTCCCTCCTAAAGAATACTTAAGTGGAGGCATGTAAACCTTCCAGCAGCAGTCAATATTTAAAATGAACACAATGACATGAAAGTAAAGAAAAAAAAATCCCACCGTCAGGTAAACAGCAGAGTAAACGCTCAGGGAGGCGTCTTTGGATGGAAAAGAGCGGCGGGCGTTCCCGACAATGATGGGGTTGCCGGTACAGATGTTGCTGTTTGTGATAAACTGGTGGTTCAAACGGCACTCGGTGCCAGTGTAGTTCGGCTTGCACACAGACAGAAAGTAGGGCGAGAGACCACCCGTGACCACCTGGCCCGCATTGACGAAAATGTCTGTGGCAAACAGGCCAAACGCAAACACACCTACGGACACACAAAGAATAACATTGTGAAAAGCGGAAAAGTGCTGCACAACATTATGTAATGACAGGGTTGACGTTCAGTGTGAAATTGGGCTACGGGCTCGGCGGCCCGGCCAAAATCAGCATCTCCACTGCAGAAAACGCCACCATTTCAACACCTTTACTTAATTAAAGTAATAACCTGGATGATATACGCTCAAACAAATGTAGTTTACCCCACTAGATGCGGCACGGTGATGTAACAGAAAGCCTGTGGCCCACTGATGAAAGCCCATTTTAATTTGCTGTTATGACACACTGGGCAAGTGCGTAAATAAATGCTTATTAGTTTACTGCTAATGAAAACTGAACAACTTTGTCGTATTCTCAATAAAGCCTTCATCTGGCAAGTGATTGGTTAGAATGATGACGTTTGCAGCTATGTGGAGCATAGAATCCTGACATTTATCAAAAGGATATAAAACCGTTATTGGGGCATTTTCAAACAGCATAGTAGTGCTCCCTCTTGGGATAATATGAAGCACTGTCCCAGTTCAGCTCAGTTGTATTTAACTTTACTTAACTTTATATACGTACAATACATTCACATTTAATTCTTTCAGAACTATTAATTTTTGAACTTTTATTTCAAGATTTTTTGTATTATTTTACTTCAATGTTGTGAGACGTATATTTTAATAATCACTATTCAAGTACTTTTTTTTTTTCCTGCATTAATGCTCAAACTGTTGCATAATGTCACAGCGGTAATACAAATTTACATGACTAGTCAAAGATCTCCAAACTTTTGACTTGTGGTGTACTCATTTTTGCAATCATATCACACCCCCTGCCCCACAAAAACACAGCAAAACTAACAAACAAAACAAAACAATTAAGCATTTAGGCCTGCAGCCTGAACATAGCTAAGTATTTTATTTTATTTTAGGTCAAACAGGGTGAAACGTTAGAGGTGTTAGCAAAAGCAAATAGAAAGAAGTCCACTAACAAGGAAGGGTTTGAAGCATGCTTAAACGGGTTGCAAAATTATCGATTCAGATTTAATCGGCTTTATTGGTGCCGTTGAGTCGGTTCATTAAGATTAATTGTCGACTCCTCTTCTGTTTTTTTGGGTGTGCGTGTTTGTGAATCTGTTTAGGTCTCCACTTGCTCTTCAAGTCTGTCCTTCTTCTTGCAATGTTGTGGCTTTTCTAGCTAATTCAAATTGATCCGTAATGATCAGTGTTTTATTTATTTTCTTTGGTTTGGTTTCTTTTGTTGAGTCATGTTTTCCTTGACTGCCTTTTTTGACCATGTCTGGTGCCCGATAATCACAGGTGAATTGACTTGAGTTGTTTGAGTTGCCGTCGGTTGAATGGTTGAATTTGTATTTTTATTTGTTCCTCATACCTTGTTTGCATTTTTTTTTTGTTTTTGTTTTGGATCTATAATGCCCTTCCTTCCTGCTTTGCATGCATGCATTTAGGTCCGCCTAACAAATACGGATACGTGCATGGCCAATATGCTTATTGCAATTGACATCTTCAGCCCAGTGAATCTTAGCAACACGTGTATTGATTTCACTGTGAAATACAACTGCTGATTATCAGGCTTGCTTAGCCATGAAATGACTTTGGCTTGTAGTCCCATCTGTTGTGGGGCTGTTTTGGCAACGCAGAAGGACGGCTGCAGACTGTGTGAGGAACCGCTGTGTGAGGAACTGCTGAACAAACTGAAGGCCTTGACAACATCAGCTGAATCCAAGAGTTATATTATATATATATGGAATATATATGGAATTATTTTTCAAATGTATGAGTTGGCATCTACAGATGTGCAACTTGGAAAAAAAAATAGTGAATATTGAATGTTTTTCCCCTTCACTGTTTTACAGGAGAGAATTGAAGGACAGCATGTGGGAAAACTACACAGGACAATATGCTGGAAGGTGGTGTCATTCTCTTCATGGAAATTGGTTATTTTATTTTACGAAGCAATTCAATGCGGTCTACATAAACCAAAAAATAAGTTCGGCGAGGAATTTAGGTGTTCCCAGCAGTATGGGGTAAAGCAGCACACGGTCGATTGTTTCCAAAATAAAAATACGCCACCTCGGCCACTATTGTAGCTTCTATTCTATGTGCCTTATTGTGCAATGCACCATACATATGAAAACTGTTTTAAAATAGGCCAGTCGTTGAAGGTGCGCCTTATAATCCGAAGCGCCTTATAGTGCGGAAAATACGGTAATTTATTTAGACACATAAGAAAAAAAAATCCAAACCTACCGGTCCCGATGTATATTTATGCGATTTCTTGATTCAACAAATGTCATGTTAGGGTGCCTGTGAAATTGAACTCAGCTTTCCCAAAACTGATTTTTGTGTGTGTGTGAGTTTTTTGTGTGTGTGTGTGTGTGTGTGTGTGTGTGTGTGTGTGTGTGTGTGTGTGTGTGTGTGTGTGTCTAAATAAGGAAATTGGCATTTAGACATTGCATTTTGTATTTTATCTGGTTGTCTCGGTGTGATATGAAAATTGGTCGTTGTGTGTGATAAATACGCAAAGAACACAGAAATCAGGAAGGGGGCATCTACTTTTTTCACGGCACTGTGTATGTGCAATGAATAAGTTAAACTTCCAGGACCTCAAATATGAATTGCGGTTTGTGAATATGTGAGAAGTGTGACTTTGACAAGGCGTCCATACCGATGAAGCGTATGACACGGCGAACAAGAGGGTTGAGGTAACAACAGTCGCCAGTTACGATGGTCTTCTCCTGGGCCAAGAGAGATTCCCGTGTGGATTTCATGGCGTACATGGACACCTCCCCAACGAAAATCTACAAACACACAAAAGAGACGTGTTATAATACGGGCCAGAGACAACATTGAGTTCGTAGGCGGCTCTTGTGTACACAAGCAGGGTTTCTTAATGCAGTCTTTGCTCGGCTCTATTACGGCGGTGACATTTCATTACCTCTGATGGAAAAACCGCTGCTGGACACACTAAATGAAATTCCTCCAGTGAGCAAGGCTGCGGGGTGTGTTTGTGTTCATAAAAGACTTTCCTCTGACCCTCACAATGTCCTTCACTGTTTTTCTTTAACGCAACCCCCCCTCGGAACAACTTTGTCCACGTTTGTTAGCGCTATTACACAGATAAAAATACTGCTGTGCTCCTGACTGAGGGGGGTTTTAATTTTTAGTTTTTAACTCAAATGCACATAGCACCAGTTGTTTTTTCTTCATGGTGCTGTCGATTAAAGGTGAGATTAAAGCCGTTAATCGAGCCCAATTTGCATCCGATTTACTCCTTTGCCATGAAAGTCAACAAAGATACGACTGTCGGCTGTCTCCACAACCTTCTGTGACCGATTTGTCTGTGGTCTTGGGTGTGTTACTAATTCCTTCTCCCCGATCTATTTGGAGAATAAAGGTGTAGATAAAGGATTAATAGATGCCAAGAACAAAATCTTGAAGAAAGGTCTTGTCTCATCTTTGGCTATGTGGTCATTTGGTGATGGATTTTTCTTTTTTAATAGTTAAGACACACAAACTCTTGTGTTATACATGTTGTGGCTCGGATTTGTTGAAGGCTTTAGGGCAGGTTCACATCCCATCGAGTCATCATCACGAAGGCTAAATCTTCAAATGGACGATGCCTGACAACCAGCGTGCGGCTCTCAAACTCATTGTGACATAAACACAGACCGGAATTGCCTGCCAAAAGGTGACTACACATTCATGCATTCACTCTAAATAGAGAAACATGTCCCTGAACACATTTTGCTTGGCACACAGAATGAAATGATGTGACTCGTTCAAATTTAACCGCAAACGTTCCCTGACGGGAAACACATAGAGCGGCTTCATGTGTCTTCATAACACTGGCAGAGTAATTAACGGAAGCGCAGGATGGCAATACCCTTGAAAGTCCATAAAACACTTCACCTGTGACATTAAAATGACGGATTGCAACCGGCCACCATATTCAGGCTGACTCTTTTGGTGCATATCGACTTCTTCACACGCTAAGTACGACATGCCGACATCCCTGGAGGGAAGCCACCATTGACGAATGTTACCTTTTCCTTCCATCGTAAGGTGCTGCCAAAGAGCAAACCCTTTGTGACCACCAAACAAACTCAACTATTTGAGGTAGCACAACATTCTTTGGGATTTTGTTTCTCCAACTTAACTACCGTGCACATATCATCCTTCGCTTAGCTTTACTGTTGCAAGCTGTGTGCAGGCGTGCAGCCAGCTGGATTCCAAAAGCCAGAAGTGGGATGCAATTCAAAATGATGATGGCATAAAGTCATTTTGGTAACTGCTGATGCAACCAATCAATTCTGTGCGGTATTTGTTTTCTTGCACTGCAGCATTTTGGCTTAATCTTGTCATCTAGCAAGATAATGCCCAAAACTGTGAAACAAATATGTCTCCCTTCAAGGAAGAAACAAATAACTCAATACATAAATCAGTTATGCATGAAAGCCCTTTCCCCCTCTCATTTTACAGTGTTTTTCTTCAGGATTTCATTTTTCTCTTGTCGCCAGCCAATTGCAGGTCACCTACGGACAAACATTCAAACTTGACTTCACAAGTATGGAAATTTTGAATACAGTATTCAATTAGCCTCACGTGGATGTTTTGGGAAAGTGGGAGGAAGCCAGAGTGCCCAGAGAGACCACGTGCGACTGAAGAACATTTGAACCTAGATCTCCCCATTGTGAGGCTGTGAAACGTGCCTATTACGATTTCATTTTCCTGCTCACTGGAATCTGCCGTCTTTTTTCATCTGATGGACTTTTAAAAGTTCTAATTTCTCTTCCAATACCAATGATAACATAAATTCATTCATTACTTGTGATGAAACAAAACACATTTAAATATTTTTGGCTCGCTAGCAGAATGCATGATCGAGGTGATAGATCAATTCGGGGTCATGTCGAGATTTTTTTTTTTTTTTTTTTTGCAGCAGCAGTCTTTTGAATAGTTTGAGTGCAGGTAACAAATACATACAAGCAAAAGAGAGAAACTCTCAGACAAGAGGCATTGGAGAACATTCCGTATACACTCCAGGCTGTTTGCTAATTGGCTAACATCCCATCCTTGCCATCATGAATTCTGATTGGCGTGTTTTCAGACGCAGGAGGAGACGAGCGATGTGCAGAGTCAACTGTAACTCCTGACAAAGCACTCTCGGAGGGTACAATTAGGAAGAGGAGAAAATACATGTGTACGAGGTAAAAGAGGAAGTGATGAGTAGTGTTAAATCGAACACGAGCAGCTGACGCAGCACTCCTCGGGGGGGAGAGGGGGGTGGGGGTGAAAGCGTGACGGGGGACAGGCCTCTAAATGGATTCATAAGGTTTACGGATAGCTTTATGTAAATAATCACATGAAAAATGAAATTAGGGGAAGATGGGAAAAGGCCGTCAGTCATGAGCACTCTCCACTAATCACATTGACTGGCACATATCCTGGCCAATCACGATGCTCCTCTGGATCTGGTGTGTATGACGCAGAGGACTGATGAGGCACAGTAATTAGCTCAGGTGGCAAATGGATACGACAAATTAACATACTTCCATTTTTGTTTTTGTATATCACAAAGCATAGTTCATCGGTCAGTGTAACCTTGTGACGCATGACATTATTTCCATGAAGACGACGATGACGATGTATGAATTTCCAAAATCCTTGAATACATCATTCATCCATTCCATCCATTTTCTGCATTTCTTATCCTCACTAGTGACAAATGTGTGTGTGTGTGTGCCTGCGCACGTGTTGTTTTTACTGCACAACCAAATATATATCGCTAGAAAATAGTCCAAATTAGAACCAAGTTTATCACCGACGTCCAGCAAGCTAGAAAACCAGAATGGAGAAACACTGACACCTACTGGCAGACCTTTGTCACTTCTTTTTACGGCATTTGAAGCCTGTGGCAAAAATGGTTTCGTCGTGAAATCTCATTAAATTGAATGAAGCTGCCCGAGAGAAGTTAATGCACGGGCATTTTGTCCAACTGGCAATTAAAAGACACCAATCTCAAATAATTCAATCAACAAGCAACGCACTCCATTCATCTTAACGACTCCAGACATTGAAATGTCTCGTCAAATAAAACATCCCCAAGACTGAGTGTCTTTGTTAGCTTTAAAGACCAATGATGCTTTGACCACTTCAAATTCATTACTTTCGTTACGTCTGCTCATAGAAAGCAATAAAAAAATGATTTCAATCACATTTCATCAGCTAACCGTGAAAATGTGTGATGAACTGCATCCGCCAGGTTGAATTGAAACCTGTCTTTAATGCTGTGTAACTGTGTGTAGCTTGCAGAGGAGGGAAACAAAGTGGCGGTAAATATGACAACACATTCTCGATTCGAGCAATTTGCGCCTTCACAACAAGCATGGTCACCTCGGCTTTCTGACAGGTCATAGTTACGTTCATTTCTAATTATAGTGGCGTCGTTATTGCACTATGATGTCAGGACAGCTCAGTAAATATTTTTACCTGTATATTGTATGTGTCAAAGGTTTAAAATAAGGTTTAGATTCAATTGGTAACTGCTACCACAACATAACACATTTATTTCAGATCAAGATCTGTTTAATTTTATGTGCAGAATGATTAGAAAGCATCTTTTTTTAAATTGTCGTACCCTGGTATAGAAACAGAACCCGTATTGTTGTACAGTACAGGTCAAGTATATATATAAAATTATTACACCGGTTGAGAAACACCAGTGTGCTCTTAGTGGGTTCTCATACTTAGGACACGGAGATGTTTGCCAGTTGGCCCATTTCTGGAGAAGAGAATTTTTGTATCTCAAAGATGCCTACGGCCATACTAGCCCAAGAATGCCTAATCTCGTTTCGGCAGGTTGCCAGGTCAGGAGTTGGGTGGGAGGGCGCCTGGAATCTCTGTTGCTGTTGTGTGGAGCAGACCAAGGTTTTATATGCTCTCAGCTGACAGCAGAGGGCACCGTTTCATCCACCGTCCGCCCACTTTCAGATAAAAAATAACACATATTGATTTTATTTCTCTTTGTGTGCTTTAGTTGAGGGGACCCCAGAAAGTCTTATTCAAAGAAAGCTATTATAGCAGTCGTCTAATCGATACTAACTTTCGATTAGATTATTTTTTATTCAGTCCCAAGATTTTCCTCAATATCTGTTCCTAGGTTGGTTGAAAATAGTAGAAGTAGAAAAATGTGATTAATCGTGATTAATTACAGATAATCGTGCCATAATTAGTTAAAAAATGTTAATCACTTGACAACACTGATAAATATACACGATTACAAGTGCATTCCAGTATATATTAATGATGGAGTCAAGTCAAATTATGTATCAAAATTGCACAAAATGTATAAAGGCAGTTAAATAAGTAAAACGTACCCTCCCACTGACGAAAGTATAAAGCCCACAGTGGTCATTGAAATATCTTGAAACTGTCAAAAGTTATAATGAATATAAATCAGGCTTTTATTTATTCATGATCCAGTAGAAATGTTGAAAAAAAGATGCTAGCCTGGACAGAAAAAAAAACACTTTAAAATTACTATGTTAGTACACAACCTTTGAAGGCAATCGCTGTCATCAAAAGATTTATGTAACCCCCGGTGAAACGTCTGCACCTGTTGACGACTTTGAGATTTCATTACAGCCAGCACACACGCAATACATCCAGTGCTGAATTTAGCGAAGCAGCCCCAGAACGTGAACAAACTTCCTCTTGTTCCAATGGAAGTGGAATATATATATATATTTTTTTTTACACTTTTCTTGTATCTGTAAATACTGAGCTGATGTGATTAGCCAAAAAGCTCGGCTTGTGTCTCAATCTGTCCAAAGGATATTCACCGAGAAGCTTTTGCGGTCCACCAAAATTCATTTTGCTCAATTCCAGTCTTGTCACGTTCAAGATATTTCAATGACCGTTTTGAGTTTTTTCTCCTGAGATACGCCACAGCACACCTGCAACCTTGATGATGAAAAGCACTATAGAAAAGAGTAGTTAGCACTGAGCAAAAAGTTTTCGGCAATGAAGCACTTTTACTCACAATAGCGGTTGGAGCGGCGGCCACCACGCAGTACAAGATGAGTGGGGGTACAAAGCTAGCCTCCTCCGTCCCGGGGTACGGCTTCATTAATTCGGCGTCGTTGCAGAAGAAGCCTTGCACGTGCACGCTGAAAAGATCTGTGCACTCCATGTAGTAGGCCAGCAACACCGTGCCAGACATGATAACAAGCTGGAAGAAGAACATGTTGGAGTGAGCTGACGATGACCTAAGAATCTGTCATAATTGCCATTTCCAAAGTTGATTCCCCTAAAACTGGATGCAACCCTTTCGTCTCCTCGGCTGTGCTTGTCTAGCAAGCTTTGAACACCAAAACGCGCTCATAAACAGTCTCTCTCACTCTCTCTCCTTCTCTCTCCTCCTCCTGCACCCCCTCATCCTTTTCATCCCTCCAACAAGAAGCTTTTGTCTTTGCTCTTTTTACCCCACTCTTTCCAGAATCAGCTGCAGGCGTGTTTGCTTCTTTTTATAAAGTATGGTATATTTAGTCTTGGGATGACGAACCGAGGCTCGAATGCAAAATGATAAGGCGTATCGAAGCGTTTTGGAAGTGGCTCTGTGAATAGCTTCCACATTTGTATTATTCACCGCTAATGCGCCAAAATTGCAGGCAACCTCCTGGCAATCTGTTGCGGGTTGTATATAGCAAACGAGTGTGACGAGTTCACGTTAGCGCGCAAAGGATTTGGTCAAAATAGAAGGTCCCAATCATATAAATCCACGTAGCGTGAGAACACTTGATTTATGAAACCTAATAGTAACACGTTGAATTGCATGTCGCTGTTTAATGTTTTATTTGGTGGGGGAGGCGGCAGTGTGAGTGACAACACATATGGAAAATTAATGAAATCATTTAATCCATACTTTGACTGTCCATCGACCCATTTAAAAGATACAACATATCTTGTCTTCAAATACAAAGTTACTGGAGGACACCGTTTGTTCTATTTTACAAGCTAAATCTCTGCAATATCGATTGTTAACACTCATGTCGCTGTTTAATGTTTTATTTGGTGGGGGAGGGGGCAGTGTGAGTGTCAGACAACACATAAGGAAAATTAATGAAATCATTAAATCCATACTTTGACTGTCCATCGACCGTTTTAATAGATACAACATATGTTGTCTTCAAATACAAAGTTACTGGAGGATACCGTTTGTTCTAGTTTACAAGCTAAATCTCTGCAATACCGATTGTTAACACGAGGTGTCACTAAATGACTTCTGAAGGCTCACTTCAGCTTCAACAAGAGTACAAATCAAATTGCGTTTGAATGGAGTGGGGCTTTATTTTACAGTGATTTATCCACTTGCTTTTCATGCTCTTGTAAATGATACTGGACGCCATAATTCAGCAAAACACGGAAGAAAGTATTTCATTTGATCCATACGTACTTAAATATTAAACCAAGTCTTCACTTGAGATAAATTGTGCAGAGCACGAGCTACTGTTTTTGTTTGTTTTTGGGGTTTTTTGTCCCAAGTGTGTTTTGACTTAAAAATACATTATATTAGGTCAGTGCACTTTCCAAATTATTACTGCATCTACAATGGAAAATGAACAACCTCTCAAGGATTTTTAATCTCGTTAATATTTTCTGTTTCATCCATGAGGATTTATATCATGTTGTGTGAACCAGACTGGACTAAATAACCAGCAGGGTGCAGACTGAGAAAACAAGGAAGCATGATACTTTGGCATCTATACTCCTCCTCCAGATGGCCATGTTGATACAGTGTGTGTGTGTGTGTGTGTGTGTGTGTGTGTGTGTGTGTGTGTGTGTGTGTGTGTGTGTGTGTGTGCGCGCGTCTCGGGGAGGCAGTTATTTAATTCCCTCTGCCATTGTAACCACTTTGTGGTATCCATCCAGTCATCCATTTTTTTCTACTTTTTGGCTCTGCGATTAACTGAAATCATGTAAGTGCATCTGCCAACAGATGTATCATTTCGATACAATGTCATGTTTACTCAGGAAATGCCTAAAACCATCTTAGAATTCATATTCGCGCCACTCAGGCATGTTTGTATCATTTGCGTGATTGCATTTCCTCTCGACCTTCCATCAAATTATGTATGCAAATAGATGACAACATTCCCAAGGCATGACTGCAACATACATTATATCGTTTCATCATCATCTCCATTTGCTGCAGTGTTTCCTCTTCGTAGGGTCATGATGAGATGTATTTGGTTGGGATATCTAACCTGCACAAGTTACCGGAGTGTAGACAATCTAATTTGCATGTTTTTAGCCAGTGGGAGGAAGCTGCAGCGAACCAACGCAAATAACACACTAACTGCACTCATATGAACCTGAATGCACAAGACGTCAAATAAACGCATGAGAAAAATGGACCAACTCGGCGGTGCAATCCTCCACATGCAGGAAATGTATGCGGTTGACTCAAAGTCATGTGGGCTCACGTGGCTTATTAATGTGACACCTTTCTACCTGGACAAAGGGTCCCTTTCTGTGAAATGTGTCGGCTCCATCAGATGTGCTTCTTTGCTGCCAGCGTCGTGTCTCCTCAACTGTGAGAAAGGGCAGACTGATGACACCGGCGCTCATAAAAAGAAGCTATGAAGTTACTGCAGCAAGCCATTATACCGAGTGACTTTGAAGGGCAAACCGACAGGGTACATTGGCCTCGTCGTTTGTGTTTGTGTTTGTTAGCAGGATTAAAACGGATTCATGCATTTTTTTTTTCCCCACCTCATTCCAAAACAGTCCGGAGGTGTTGTAGCCTAACGTCGTCTTGCTTATCCTCATTAGTGGCCCGGTTAAGGCGGAACCAATCCCCACTGACCTCGGCAAATGGTTTTGGGTAGTACGTCTTGGACTGGCCACTAAACAATCGGGCGCGTATCAGGAAACAAATCATTCACAGTCACATTCAAAACCGATGGGCAATTTCGACTTGAGAGTCCTCAATTAACCTCGTGTCTTTGGAGCATGTACGAAGCAGCTGTGAAAAGCCACGCAAGCGCGGGCACAACACGCAAGAAGAGTCCCTAGGAGGGGACTGAGGTGTGCCTGCTGATTCGAGGATTGTCAAATGCAATCAGCACGCTTAATGCATGACCTGCTTTTGAACAAACAGAAAGAAATTACGGAGTCGGTCCTCAGTTTTCTACCAAATTCGAATGTGACATCACCACACCGAGAGGGAAGTTCGGCATCCATCTTATTCTCATTCGGATTTGGATGCCTCTTTCGTCCTACATTATTTTTCAACAAAAAGGTAAATGGCAAAAAGCGCCAACAAACTTGCTCTTGAGGCTCAAGAAAAGAAGGATGTGACAAATTGGCTATAAGCTGTCAACACTGCATCTGGCGCAAAACTTCACAGGCCAGCTGCTCCACTCTGGATATGTGACAATAATAAAAAAAAAAAATCATAATAAAATAAAAAAAAAGACCCATGTGTTCCTGACAGGCAATTTCAGGGCGCAAGATTACAGCAGATCAGCAGCAACATCCATTCATTCATCTATTCACCCACGTATGTGTGGTACTGCTCTGCTTCTTGTATTTCATCCACGCTCTGCCCGCTGGGTTGTCTCAATCTTTTCAATCTTCCGAGGTCTCATATTTTGATTATCTTGGAGCAGCTGAAGCGCCAAATCAACTTCTGCTTGTCGCATAATTTTACATCCTGTCAGACCTCGACCAGTTGTCATTGCAATAACAACAACAATAATTATAACGATCATAAAGTCCAAGCTATCAAGGAATATTGTTCGATATTTAAGGAAGTATGCTATTGACGTTGAACAATAGTCTGTCGGCAAATGATTGAATTGATAGCTGATGTAGAAATGGTGAAATCAATTGTTGATCGTTGTCACCACTCCACGTGACAGGTATTTGTCCACGTGCCACATATACACACGGGATCACGTCGGAACTGCTGCCTCCATGACATCTTGAAAGAAAAATGTCTGATTTATTTATTATTCAGTACAATGAACAGCCGCTAGGTTTTAAAACTAGCATTTTTTTTTTACGTGATTTTACACTCTAGTATAAAGTGGACCGCAACTATTCGCAGTGGATTGGGACCAGGCCAGCCTGTGAATAGCAAAAATCCACACACAGACAAATCCTATCATTGTGGAAGGCGGTCTCCAAGTACCGAATTCATAACAATGACGCCCTGGCCAACTTTAAATGATCTGCCCGTGGAGGTCTGCATGCAGTTCCTGATAGACGCACTTTGCACGCTTTGACTTCCTGCATGGGTGCAAGCAAATCAGTTTCTGGTGGCAAATCTAGTTGCCTGTTTTCACACCCACAACGGCGCAAAATGACTTTTTCCTTTTTTAATTTTTTTTAATGGCACCGACCTGCTTGCATAATAAGAATACCAAAAATGTTAGCGTTGCCTAACCCTGCGCAGATTTACACCACACCTTGTGCTAGATTTGCACTGGCCATAGAAACAGAGCCCATAAAGTTTAATTCTATTTTGTTACCAACTTCAAATGGGAGTGATTAATAAACAGCTTCAAACAATCACGCTTAGCTTTATCTGGACAACTGTGCAGGAGTCGTCCTTTTGTTCCTGCAAGAACAGACACTCAATAAATTTCATAATTTTAAATGTGTTTGTAAATGTAGAATTATTTCTCTGTCTATCGCAGATTCTGGAATGTACGCCCAATGAAAAACGTGAGCTCACTGACAACAATCGTTCTTGCTCCTTTGGGATATTTTGAGAAAATCTGATCACATGCATGTTAATTACAGACACGGGAGCTGTTTTGACTGGTGGAAATGTGTGAAATATATGACATCCTTCAAGACTCGTGAGAGGCCTGAGCGGTATGTGTGTTTTACAAGCACTCTGCTGTTGAGCATTTGGATTTATTTCAGCCTTAACACAGAATAATTTGAAGCTTTTGGCAGGCTTGACCACCTACGCTACATTACTCCGCGGATGTTGTCATCAACACAATTAACAGTCACTTACCGACCCCTCTTTTGTCGTCTAATAGTCTACAATGAGTCTAATTGCACAGCGTTGATTAGCAATGTACAAATGACCGCACAAACCGCACACCGAGTTCAAGCCAAGACACCCGAAAGAGGCACGATGTACAATGAAGTCAAGCTGTGAAACAGACAACACAATGACAATTTATAGAGGCAACAGCGCTTATCATGCATCTGTGTTCACTTTGAATGCCAACGGAGCAATGTCACACATTGGTTTGACTCAATCTGTCTGCATTGTGACCGTCAGCAATAGGATTCAAACGACGGCACCGCTGGAGTCTCAGCATAAGCTACTGTGTGATTCCTCTCTTCGTGATCAAATGCAGCACAGTTGAGTTTCGATATCTATGTTTCGATGTCTTGCTCGACGATGCTTTTCCGGTTGAGTACTGATCAGTTCATGATGGATCGACATGGCAGTTGTGTTCCAGAGCTAATCATTGGAATTATTCATTCATTCATTCATTGTCCGAACCGCTTGATCCTCACTAGGGTCACGGGGGGTGCTGGAGCCTATCCCAGCTGTCTTCGGGCAGTAGGCGGGGGACACCCTGAATCGGTTGTCAGCCAATCGCAGGGCACACAGAGACGAAAAACCATTCTTGCTCACACTCACACCGAGGGGCAATTTAAGAGTGTTCAATCAGCCGACCATGCATGATTTTGGAATGTGGGAGGAAACCGGAGTCCCCGGAGAAAACCCACGCAGGCCCGGGGAGAACATGCAAACTCCACACAGTGAGGCCGGAGCTGGAATTGAACCCGGTACCTCTGCACTGTGAAGTCGACGTGCTAACCACTGGACTGCCGGGCCGCCAGCACATTTTCAATCGCATCAAATATAAGATTTTCATCCTTGGGTTAATTTGAACAGAGCAATATCGCAGGAAGGTGATTATAGTTAGATTACACGACATACAGTATAATGTGATATGAACCCTTTGAGGGACAGTTTATCATGTTATCAGGTTAGAGCAGGGGTGTCAAACTCATATTTTGTCACGGGCCATATTGTAGTTATGGTTTCCCTTGGTGAGCCGTTATGAATTTTCGGAGACCATATTAGTGTTTAATCACCTCCCCATATTACATACACAGCGCACAACAAATTGATGGATTACTAGTTTTAAAATGAGAAGTCAAGAATAATGTGGATTACATATGACAATTTGAAATTTTGTTTCGGACTTTAGCAAGCATCATTGAACTTGACATGCTTGATTTGCTTTCGCGGGCCACATAAAATGATGTGGCGGGCCAGATCTGGCCCCCGGGGCCTTGACTTTGACACCTGTGGGTTAGAGAGTGTATGAAAGGGTTATATATATTTTCAAGGTCAAAATGACCCACAGAGAATGAATAAAGTACAATTTATGAGGGAGAAAAACAAAACAAAAAAAAAAACCTCATGAACTCCCCACTTTGTTTCTTTGGTAGACCAAAAATGTTCAAGGGTCAACGTGACTCATTGCAAAATAGTCCAAATAATATATCACAGACAAGACACAGACAGCTGGGGAGTTGGGCGTGACCCTTCACCTGCGCACCTGTCTCTCGTCATGCAATCAAGCACCTATGTATTTAAGGACTGCCACAATCAAGCCTCCTTGTCAGATTGTTGCTCTTGATCTCCCAAATGCCGTTTTCTAGACTCCTATCTCTTGTTTATCGTTGTTTTTCTTGTCATAGCTTTGGTTTTTGTGTACGTGTTTATCCTGTCGGAGTGTCACGTTTCTTTTGGTTTTCTCGCTTGTGTAATTGAAGTCTTTTCATTCCGTTGAGCGTGGATAGTCTGACCTCGCCTTTTGCTAGCGCTTTTTATTCCATGTTTAGTTTTTCCTGGTTTTTGTCGCCAGCGATTTATGTTGTTTACTTTGTTGGTATCTCGCTTTCCTGTAAATACATTTTTTTTGTGTTTACGTCATTTACCTGAGTCTGCGCTTGTGGGATCCCACTTCCCACTGGTCTGTGTTCAGGCCGTATCAATATCATAATCAGTTACCAGGATGTTCTCACAACAATTTTGTAAGATGTGGAAATGTCATTCGCAGAAAAGAGACAAACACAAATTATGACAATTCTATGCATGTTTAAGTGTGAACATGCTGTGCAAAAATGAAGTCTTGCTTGCAAAATAGTCACAGAATGACATACACATTTTTGGGGTCATATTTTGCGTTTTCATGTTATTCAGGTCCTTTGGTTGTTGTCCGGCGGGTGCGAAAAGAGATTCAGAAGTGTCATGTGATTCTTACATAACAAGTGCAAAGGCTGCCCTGAATACAAGGTGGAGCTCTGCGAATTTAAAATACACACGAGATGCGTAGGGATGACTGTCCGAAACTTAGAGGTCAGTCGAGGAGAATGCATGAGGTTAAATAGTGATCGCGCAGTCATATCACACCAAATTATGGAGGCTTTCTCTTGGGGAAAGGAGAATGTAACTACTATTTGGTGGTGGGGGCTGGAGAGAGAAGCAGAGAGTGTTGTGGGAGCCTTGAGACATCCCTCTGATTTCCGAGCCTCCGCTACAAGGTAATTAAATATAGACGATGGCACACGCATTCTGTTTTCCACTCATCCTGACACTTCATGCTCCACTTAGCCGTTTAAAATTTACCGGACAAGGTCATTTTGCGAGTGGTTAAATAATTCTCCCATACGCATGCATCTCCTGAGTCTAGATTAGAATTCCTTCACATTCAGTGTGTAGCTTTTCATGCTCTGTGTACATGTCGTGCTTCTTGCAAATTATCACCTCTACAAAGATGAAACACGGAATGATGGAGTAGCTTCGTAGGATGTGGTTGGATGCCATCTTGTCTCCCCCTCAGGAGCCCTCTCCTCTCAGGATTCACAACACCTCACCCTGTAAAAGACATCACATGTCACTGCGACGCTTGTTGAAAAGTCAGACGTTGCCCAGGAGGTAAATTTTATTCGGAGTAGTTGCTTAGGTTGGAGTAGTGTAGAAAATCGGCTTCGAGCCCACAGTACCCTCACTTGTTCTATCTCTCTCTTGCGTTTTGAGTTACACTCCTGTCCCTCGTAAAGCAAGTCCAGTGTATGATAGAAAAAGGACATGAAGAAGAATTAAGAGTGAAGAATGTAAAGAAAATAGAGCAGGTAGAAATTTCGTAATGAGTTATTTATACAGGCATTTGTTGAAAACATTACAACCCAGAAACGTAAGATTGGTTCCAAAAGGCCAAAAAGAGAAAAGAAGAGGCGGTGATGAAGGCGGTGATGAAGCCGGTGACGATGACACGGGATGACACGACAATTAACCTGGTGTGGGAACTTATTCGAAAAAAAAAAAAATTATACACATATATATACATATATATGTGTGTGTGTGCGTGTATCAACAGTCAAACAACTGAAGTACCCACACTTTTTTGTGTGTATGAACCACCAGCTCGATTATCGTGTCATCTCGTCTGTGTGTGTATTTGTGTATATTTAAAAAAAAAAAAAGATTTTTGATGTGAAATGAAAGGACAACCAATTAGAAAGCTATCTGGAGCTGACACTGTCGCTGGACGGACATTAGCAAGTGGTTGTATTGAGTGTTTCTTTGAATGAGTTTCAAATCATTCGTCACAATAAAAATGACAAGAAGTGTTCTCAGTCACGTCGGTGACCTTGAAACCATCATAAAAGGCCGACCCAAACATCTGTGCGCTAACATTTGAGCTGCTTCTCCTCTGTCTCAGTGGCACAAAAGAACAAACAGAGCAGCTCAAATGTCCTTTCAACTGAATTAATTTCCTTCTGGGGACTCTCAAGAGCTTCCCGGACAGCTGCAAGATGTCGTCTTGCAATCGTGCTTTAGTTGACCCAAGGTCATCAACTTGGACCACCTCTCACTAGAATGAACACCCCCACCCTAAAAAGAAGAATTCAACTGAGTGAGCTGGAGGTTTGACTTGAAATCTGTCGCAAAATGGCATTGTAAGGGCTCCAGATAGCCCAGAGCAATGTCCCATAGCAAAGTGTAACAGTATGTAGAAAAAAAGAAACAAAACACACCAATAAGAGCGGGACATATACTGAAAAGTGTCATCCCAGCATTGTTTCATTTAAATCCTGCAGCCAAAGACATTATGTAATCACTCTTGGATGCTTGTCAGAGAGTTATATATTTTTTTTCTTGGTATGAGCTTCTTTTTGGAGCTTGAGGTTTGTTGTTAGCCTACTTAGAAAGGAAAGCAAGAGGGAAGCGTTCCTAATTCTGCTTTTCCTAACTTCATGTTTTATTTTTCTTGACAGCGGCTTTCTGCCGAGAATCACTTAAAAATGACTTCTTGCCACTAATAACGGAACAAAAATTGTACAAGAGCCTTTTTTGTGTTGTTGAACACCATTTTGGTCGCAGTTCGACAAACAATAGCGAACCGCAACCCCCCCCCACCCCATCCCATTGAGTCATTAGATGCAGGCGAGACAGTGATGATGATGAGGCTTAATCAGTCCCTAAATGCTTGTCCCATCTCATTGCAACACTAAATCCAACAACGTCACGATGACACTGGATGGCGGCAACCTGACCGTCGCTCTCACATCCGTCCCGATGCTTCACTCAGTGAGACAAAGCATCGAGGATACAAAACGTCTGCTGATGTCAGCGTCGCCGACACCCGCAACTACAAAACATCTGGCCAGGTCACACACACTACAGTAATTGTCACACCTGGACAAATGGCGTGGCAGATTATTAGATTTTGTCATTTCAGTTGCAAGGTGGCTGGCAATGCAGAGCTTGTTCACGGATCAAGAGCGCTTCAGCTGTGACCTTTTTCTCCCAGTTCACTAAAACAGCAAGCATTGGCCCCAAATGACACGTCAATTGAATTGCACTCCGCAAATTCTTCGAAAATGCTGCTGCTAGACGTTCGCTCGATCTGTCTCTGCGCATTTCAACAGTGTAATCGGCCTCTTGTGGCTCACTGTCTCTTAATATTATGGCAGGTACAGTAGCAATATGAGTAGGAGTGCCTCTCGTGCTTTGGGAAAACTCTGCTCCTCCTACTTCAGATGCAACCAAATGCTTTAGTTACTCATTTGAATGTATGAATAAAAATATGTATTAATATATTAATGTCCTCCGTCAAAATGACTTCACAGTTGGAAAACAAGCAGCATTTTTCGTCGTTTTTTTTTCTTAGTATGTACATCCAAAAATGTAATATTTACATATTTTCCGCACTATAAGGTGCACCTAAAAGCATTCCACTTTCTTAAAAGCCATTTTTTCTTAGTATGTACATCCAAAAATGTAATATTACCATATTTTCCACACGATAAGGCACACCTAAAAGCATTCCACTTTCTTAAAAGCCGACAGAGCGCCTTATCATCCAATGCGCCTTATATATGGATCAATATTCTGAATTCGTGGACGCAGTATTTAAAATGTTCTGTAAAACGCTTTGTTACAGCTGCAGCGGTTGTGAAGGCTCTATATAAATGAAGCTGTCTTGTATTGTATTCTATTATATTCCCTTTAGCATAGCTCCATCTAGTGGATGCATAACGCACCCGCAACCACTATTGTAGCTTCTATTCTATGCACCTTATAATGCGATGCGCCCTATATATGAAAACAGTTTTAAAATAGGCCATTCATAAAAGGTGCGCCTTATACTCCAAAACACCTTATACTGCGGAAAATACGGTAATCTGAAATCTCCTTTGAACGTATCTAATTAATTTCTAAATCCACAGATCATAAGACAAAAAAAAACTTATACTTGAAAGAACAAAACAAAAGCATGTCACCTATGCTTCTAATATGCCTTGCCATTCTCAACTTTCAGAAGCTGTTTAGTATTTTGGCCAAATAATCTTAATTTGCCCTGTTCAATCTTTTAAATCAAACTAAAGACAAAACCAAAAAAAGATGCTTAGCATGCACAGGACATACAATGAGTGACTTCACAACCAATCAGAGGCACTGCTACTCTTTCACCCCCTGATGCGTCAACATTCGCTGAAAAGCCAGCAAATGACAACAGTCACACTCGAAGAGAAACCCAGCTCACAGAGAAATGAGTAACATGTGCTGAGCGAATTAAAGGGATAGCAAATAATATCAAGATTTCACTTTCGCTGAATATAGAAGTTGGTTGCACATAAACCCTCTTATCTAACATTCAAATTGTGGCAAGTGGAATCGCCGAGTAGTTGACTTAAGACGCCACTTGACACAGTGGCCGATGAGCGAAAAAGTTCAAGTCAAAATGCCAATTTAACAGTTGAACAGTATGCTTTGACTGGAGGGTGTGTGACAAATTAGTTCAATCAGAGAATTTGTGGTGAGGGTCCACTAACCATGAGTGAGCTCACACTAACTTCAATAATAGCTTCAAAACGAGAGCAGCCTCCGGGCTCTGATCAAGTCACAAACGTGGCACAGTCACACTTCACCGTAGTGAGTATTGACATATTTCTTCTACCCTTCAACTAACCTTCGAGACATCATGAGGCTTAAAACCAAGAGCCCTTTTTTTCTTTAAACCGTCGGGGCTGAAAGGTGATCAGACAGTCGTCCCGGAGGCGAGTTCATCAAACCGGGGAGCCTACAGGCGCTGTCACGATTCATCAGCTTTGTCCTGCGCGCTCAGCCAAGCTGCAACGACTTTGTCAAAACGTCGCTTAGCTCCTTGTGAAAGTGGGCCCGGACTGGCTGTAAAAAAACCAGTGTGTGGAAATGTCGCATTCAACAGCTCCTTATCTCTGAAATCTTAAATCTTCTGGATATGAAGATAAACTGCCACAATGACGGAGCTTCCTGCTGTTTCTTTTTTTTCTTCTTCTTCTTTCTCCCTCTTTTTTTAAGGAGACATTCTGCATTTATTTCACGATTTAAAAAAGGTCCCCAGGTGGCTAAATGACATCTCTGTGACTCTGCCACGCTTCCGCCAGCATACCTCAGTGATCAGCAATTATATCACTCTTAATTCACTATTTCTTGTGGTGCTCAAGTAGCTTGTCTGAGAGGGTGGCCCTGCCTCATACGAGTGATCCAGCCTCACATGTTGCTGGGCCGATGCTAAGTACACCATCCGTAACCATGACGACTGAGTAAAGGTAGTTGGACATTCCATTCCAACTAACTGCAAAGCCAACGCCGGCCCCATAAAGACAGAGTGGAGGCTATTTTCCCTCACGGAGGCAGCACTTCATTACCAAACGTTTTTTTTTTTTTTTTTTATTGAATGATTTCAAGGTGATGTCATCATATTGGTTGCTTGATTCAAATTCCTTCACATTCAGTGTGTCGATTTTCTTGATGAAGTCTTTTGTTCAGCTCTCCGTGCACCTGTTGACTGCGATGTGTTTGATCTCTCCCCCCGAAAATACATTCTGTGTAAAGCCACCCATAGCTAAATTAACAAAAAAACATTTTGGGCTGTTTAAAAATAAGAAAAGCTTTTTGTGACAAAGGAAGTGTATTCTGTAGGCTATACATTCAATGTGAGATAATTATATAGGAGAGAAATGTCCACAAGTCTTTTTCCGTTTCTCATTTGCACTTCACACGTTCTTGTACAGACAGAACTGTCCCATGGCTGCCTCTCCTGCCAATGGAGCATCTTTGATGCTATAAATAGTATCTTCATTCCTCCCCTGTGCTTCTCTGATTCATGTTTGTGTATTTCTCACACCATGAGGCCAAAAAAAAAAAGTTTGCTTCCTTACATACCTTCTTAAAGGGAAAGTCAATCCCCAAATGTTCTTTACAATAGCTTGCACTGCACTGTGCAACAAACAACAAGCACAATGGCACAGAAGCCCTCATTCATTCGACCGTGAGTGTTAATTTGTGCGAGCGAGAAAGACACGACTGCAAAGTGCTTTGAATTC